CAACTTGTTCTGCTTTAGAATTTGGAACATTTCGTCTAGGCCCCTGAGATGGTCTTTCTTATCCTTTCTTTTGACCACCATGTCATCAATGTAAGCCTCCATTGTTTTGCCTAACAATGGTTCAAACATTTTGATGACCATCCGTTGGAATGTGGCCCCTGCATATTTTAGGCCAAAAGGCATGACCTTGTAACAATACAATCCTCTGGGCGTTGTAAAAGATGTGACCTCCTAGTCTGGCTCATACATAACGATCTGATGGTAACCTCTATACGCATCAAGGAAGCTAAGTCAATTGTGCCCTGCCGTCAAGTCTACTAGTTGGTCTATCCTAGGTAAGGGAAAGTTATCCTTTGGGTATGCCTTGTTGACTGTTTTGTAGTCCACGCAAACACGTCATTTTCCATTCTTCTTTGGTACTACTACAGTATGGGATATCCACCTGGGATAGTGCACTTCTCTGATGGCTCCTGCCTCTAGCAAGTTTCCCACTTCCTCTGCCACTATCTCCGCATGGTGGAGTGCTGATCTGCGAGTGCGCTGTATGATTGGTCTGGCATTTGGGTGGACATTAAGTTAGTGGCAGATGAAGTTAGGGTCTATGCCAAGCATGTCATATGGCGTCCAAGCGAACACTTCGATATTTGAGATTAAGAATTCCATTAACTCAGTTCTCTCAGTGTTGGACAAAGACGAGCCTAGCAAAAAGAACCTTTCTGGGTTATTTTCATCTACCCTTACCTCAACTAAGTCCTCCACTGCCTTCTGTTCTGCTGCCTTGCCAACATCCACAAATAGTTCATTGCTCTCTGGCTCTTCCACCATCTGTACATATCCTTTTGCAGCCCGGCTGCCATTTACTGTGACGAAGCACTATTTTGATATGATTTGGTCTCCCAAGACCTCTTCAATTACTCCGGCTTCGTTGGGGAACCATAGTGCTTGATGGTAGGTTGACGCTACCGATCGCATGGCGTGCAGCCATGTTCTTCCCAAGATTATGTTGTAAGTGGAAGGGACCTTCAATACCCAGAATTTCACTTGTTTAGTCATGGTCCCAGCTTTGACTGGGAGGATTATCTTGCCCACTAGCCATTCTGCCATTGAATTAAAGCCAACTAGGGGGGATGTTGCAGGGGCCAAGTCTTTGTCCTCTAGTTTCAACTGTTTGAAGGTTTCATAATACATTATCTCGCATGAACTTCCTTGGTCAATCAGAATCCATTTGATATCATAATTCTTGACGCACAAAGTTACCACCAGTGCATCATTGTGAGGGTAATGTAGCCTTGCTAGATCTTTATCTAAGAATGATATGACGTTCGTAGCCTCTGTTTTGCCCTTTTTAATGGCGGGTTGTGCACTTAGTACCTCCTTCAGGTGTTCTGCCTTCTTTATCATCCCCCTGAGTTCACATACCCGCTCAGGTTCTATGATGCCATGAATAACATTGATTACGCCATGGGGTGGTCCGTCCACCGGCATCCCGTTTGGCCCGTTGAGGTCTTGGGGGGCTGGCTGTGTTCCCCCTTCAATATACTAGTTTAGGTGACCAGCAGCTACTAATTCTTCCAGAGGTTGCCTCAGGGGTGTGCAGTTTTCGGTTAGGTGCCCCTTCTCATCATGGAAAGTGCAGCGGGACCTCTCGTCGTAACCCCTTTGTGCTACTCCCAACTTGGCTGGCCGTCGAACGAAGGGTTCATTCTTTATCTCGCTAAGAATTCGATAAATGGGTTTATTGAACACGATGGTAATGGCAGTGCGATATCTTAACCTTCTTTTTTCTGGGTCCTCCCTGTTGGCTCGCCTGCCTCGCCCATTCCTGTTTGGTTGTTTTACTGTGTTGACTTCGCTGCGGTCTTCTTGTCTGGTATTACTGTTGAGCCAGATTTTGCTTTAGCCCGAGCGCTATCTTCCTCCACGCGGATATGTTGGTGCACCCTCTCTATTAGGGCCTCCATCGTGAGAGGTGGCATCATAGTAATTGAGTCCCTCAACTTGTTTTCGACTGGTAGACCCCTTTTGTATTGCGCGATGGCAAGATTTGTGGGACAATCTCCTATCTGGTTGAAAGTCTCCCAATATCGACCGTTGTAGGATCTCAACGTCTCCTTGTCGCCCATGTCAATGGAGAGTAGCTGATCGATCTCTACTGTTGTCTTGGTGTTTGTTTTGAACCTAGTCACGAACGCTTCTGCCAATTGTGCCCATGAGGCGATGCTGTCTTCTAGTAGCCTTTCGAACCAGGTTAGACCTAGGTCGCCAAGGCTAGATGGGAACAAGATACACATTAGGGCTTCATTCCGCCGGTACACTGCCATAACCTGGCGGAAGTGGCTCAAGTGCATATAGGGGTCCGTCTTCCCCTCATAAGTAGTAAATTTGGGCTGGTGGAAGCCTGAAGGTAGTGGTGCGTTCTCTATTGCCGGAATGAACGTCGAGCTTTGCAACCTTGTTAATACCTTATCTGCTGGTTCGTAAGCAAGGCGAGGTATTGGCATCCCTATTTCGACACTCCCATGTGTCCTGGGGGCCAATTGTTACAGTGCTGAGACTCTGCGTGGGTCGCGAGCCCTGGTGTCTTCCTTCCATAGGGCCTTTTCGTCAAGTACTGTTCGCAAGTCAGATGATCTAGGCAACTCCGTGTGCCTAGATGTCGTCCGGTGCGTGTGCGAGGGCCGATAGGTGCTTCCCTCAGTACACGACCTCTCAGTTCTCGTTCTCCCAGACCTGGAGTAACGAGTCTTGGAAGTCCTCGATTGAGTGTCGCATGTTCTAAGGCTCTTACTTTCTGCTTGCGATGGCGTGGTATGCCTATCACGATCCTCCGAGTGGCGAGGGGGCGTGTTGCCTTTGTGCCCCTCTCCTGTTGCCACCCCTTTCCCTTTTATCTGGCGCTTCATTGTCTCCATGTCTGCCGCCATCTTCCTAATTAACTCGTCCTGCTCCTTTACGCGATCCTCCAAAACATGAGGGTCCATCCTCCGCCTTTGTCTTTCAGGACTTTGAGAGCGACGGGGGCAGCTGTCCCGTCTTCCCCTTGCATCCCTCTGGGGGTTCTGTCGCTGGGGCTCTAAATCCGCCATAGGAGGGATAGAAGGCAAACCTTCGCGCCTTCCACCCCCCTCCAGGGTATGCCCATCAATAGCCGATTGCGGTAAGTCTTCATTGTGCGCCATTGCTTCCAACTTGGGAGGAAAAGCTTGATCAAAAGGTTTTATTCTTTATTCTTTTCCCACAGACGGCGCCAATTGTACGAGCACGAAATAATGTTCTCGAATAATCCTGTTAATCAAGTCTGCGCTCCTCCAAACGTCGTCGCTTTATTCCCTGAAAATACAAACTTGAGCTAGCCGGCGAGTATGTGTCGAATACCTCTCTGATGCCTAAGTTAGCAAAATAAACAAATAGACAAAAGCTCTGTGTATTCCGAGGATCAAAGTTGTGATACCTGTACATAGGTTCTATTGTAAGCTTTTATAGTTTTTACCTAGCACAATCCTAGTAGGACTCTTATTCCTCTATGCAGAGTTCTCCTAGGAATCACACTCCTGAAAGATAATGCTTATCTTTCAACACCTTCCTCACTGCTTAAACCAAGTGAGATGGTTTTACCACGGTTGAATAGCTATATAACCGAGTTAACACTAGCCCTTTGTCATACTAAATCCGCTGCCTTCATATGCAATACCTAGCTCGGTCCTCGTTTACTTATACCTTGGTTCTGTTTAGAACGAGCTATCTGCCGCAATATCCGACCGAGCTAACAAGGCGAGGTCCAATTTGTAAAGCACAAACACCTCGGCCCATAGCTCGGCACAAACTTCACCTGGCCCAAGCTCGTTAATTTATGGACCGAGCTACAACAGCTCCTACCTCGGTCCGTCGTACGGCCCAACTTCCAAAGAAGCCTGTTACTTAGCTCGGCCCAATTTATATATAAATTATCCTCTCAATAAAAATAGAAAAGCAATACAAACATGTGTGAGGTAAGATCCAAGCTACCATGCTATACAGTTGAGGTGATAGCACAACGGCTGAGCAATACATGTGGCAGGACAACTGAACAAAGCTGCCATGTTGTTTGCTGAGCTTCATGGTAGGTCAGATAGCCAAGCCTAGGGTAAGTCCACATTTAGCGAGAACGTGCGATATCGCAAACATAGGACAAGTAACTAAAATCTCTCAACGGCAATATAGCCAAGCCCTAGCAGCGGGTGGATTAGGTCAAGGGTAAGTCCACATTAAGTGGGAACGTAGCCAAACCCTAGCAGTGGGTGGACTAGGTCAAGGGTAAGTCCACATTGAGTGGGAACGTGCTTATCCTTGTCTGGGATATCGCAAAGGAAGGACACAATCCCATCTAAAGCAGAACAAAAGAGGACATGACAGCTAAAATATCTCAACGGCAATATGATGGTAGAATGATAGCTGCCCAAAAGCTGCCAAGGAATGACATTCAGTCTCAGTAAACTCTAGATCATGAGGTTATAACAAACCCTGTAACATTCAAACATTTCCTCTTAAATGGTTAAAAGCTGACTTTTTGACTTTTTTTTGACTTTTTAGTTTTTTTTTTTTTGTGAGAGAAGAAGTGGGTTAAAAGATGGGGAGTGACTTTTAACCCACTTCCCAAAATAGGCCTTAATATCACCAAGCGTCCAAACATAAATTTAGAAGAAAATATTTATGGTCCACGAGTAAATGCTAGCACTGCTTCCCCTCACAGGCTTGACCACCATTGATTTGTTATATACACTGTTTGAATCAGTATTAAGAAAACTCATCACATAGAAAATACTTAAAACAGATTTCACCACTCAACTTCATCATTAGGCCTTAGTACCCTTTATTTTATTAGCCACAAGATCTTTGGCATAAATGCTACACAAAGCATTGATAAAAATAAAAATAAAAAGAACAGCAACAATTGGAAAGAAGATAATAACAGACTTCATCAGCTAAGCTAACTTAACATTCAATAATCGACATTGTCACCAGAAAAACAACTTCTTATCTCTTTGCAATTTATCATACAAAAACTTGATTCGCTTTCCTCCATATCAATGTTTACATTATCAAATTTAGTAAGCACACTAATTCTCATACAATCCAAACTGAAGGATTGAGCTATGCCATTACAGAGATGGAAACTGAAGGCATGATCTCCGTGTCCTCTTTCCCCAAGGAGTGGAACAAGTAAGTTCATATTGTCATCATCACCATTGGAGTAGATTTTTAGCAAATGTGAATATGGTTGGTCTTGGTCTAGGTCTATGAATGACTTGGAATAGAGCACCGAAGGAACCAGAACAGATAAGGATTATCTTGGTCAGTGCTTACCGTGTCATCCATTTAGTAAATGCTTCATCATCCACTAACACGACACACAACTAAGCTGTAGTGCACATGTTTTTGCTTGGCCTGGAAATGGATTCATTTGCAAAAAATTTCTGGGCACAAGCACATGAAACATTCTCCAAAACTTGAGAAGATGATGCAGCAATTACACCGGTCAACATGTTCTTTACAAGCAAAAACTAATTGTATGTGTGCAAAGGAGCTCCACAGAAATCAGGTGCAATTAACCATTCTTTTTACAAGAATCTATTTCTTTTCATTTTTTTTCTTCAAGAAAACCAATAAGAAGAAAGAAAATCCTTTTCAGAAAGAGCAAAGTGTGGGAAGATCAACTCTTTCTTCACATTCAAGATTAGACTGCATCTTTCGCTGGATTTAGAATTTTGTAAAAGGGTTAACAGGAAACACTACTTAGCAATTTACGTTTAGGAATGCACGTTCTAAAACATAGAACACTTTCGTTCCAAAACGATGAATTTGGCAATCTAAAGTGATTCCAAAACTATTTTCTAATATAAACCTTTAAAGTTGCCTTCACTGGAAAAACAAATCAAATGTAATAGACAAAATCTAGTATGAGTATAGTTTTGGTATGGCAAAACATTAAAAACGGGTAATAATGCTCATAGAATGTGTTGTAACATGATTAATTTAAAAAAGATAAGCAACATTTTATTGGATGTCTAATTGTTAAAAGAAAATTAGGAGTATCTTAAAATCTAATAGTGTAGTCTTAAACAAGTCTACCTTATCATACCACATTTTAGAGAATGTGGTGTGCCACGTTATTGATCCCGTTCCATGTACAGAAACGATCCACATTCCAGGATAGCTACAAACTAATAAAGGCAGCAAACTCTGGTATTTAGCTTTGAAAATTTTGTTTTTAACTGAAGTAAGCTAAAGATTCAAAACAGAAAAGTCATAAAATTCATCCTGCATGTCAAAAATTACAAAAATCTCTGCAAAATCTACACATTTCTTTTGAAATAACAATTTCCATTAAAAACATAACAGCCTGTGGTCAAACTCTAGTGCCGGAAACAAGAAGGATTGCAGACAGTAGTCACAGAACAGAGGCTGAACTAAAAAATTCAAAAGCATATGCACAAAAGTTATATCACATACCTCGAAAGAGAACAAGAGATGGGAGGGACTGTTTGAACAACGAATTACATTTACATACCATCACTGCCAATATTGGCATGTTTGGGACGATGAAAGAAATAACTGATTAGTCACTACAGGCACTATTTCCGTGTGTGTTCTCAAAAAAGAACTAAGAAATAGTCATGGTAACCATTCGATCTGATGAATTTAGTAATATTATCCGTGAACGTATTATTGCATGACGTATTTGCTTAACATGGTAAAAGGACACCATCATAAAGGTACATAAATGCTTTACTCATCACGTGTTTGTTGTTAAGATGTTTTTGTTATGGATGCACCACTGAAGTAAATGTTATGTCCAATTTTCCAATTGCCTTTCAAGTTTTTTACCAGTCTTTGAAATTTCAGCCGACATGTTGCAGTATCAACCATATGATATCATATTAGTCTCACTAGCTATTATGATATCACAATACAATAATTAAATTAACAAGTATTGGCAAATATCTCGTTATATCAGTCAATATCAGCCAAGCCACTAAATGGCTCAGTCTTGCCACAATACCAAATACCAATCATGCTGAGAAGCATGAACACGGACACGTGACACGACACGGATATGACACGGACACGCTGACACGTTAATTTTCAAAAAATACAAGACACGATACGTGGGGGACACGCATGAAATATATAATTTTATATATTTATTATATATTATATATATAAATATATCATTCAAATATAATATAAAATGCAATATGACACTAATTTCTATAAATTTATATGGGTTTTGTTTTATTATTATATCTTAAATTGTTGTATTCAAGCTTATAATTAGTTTCACATGTGTCTAATCGATAGACACGTGTGTTTAAGTGATTGACACATGTGTTCTCCAAGTGTTCAAAGAGTGTTTGGATCTTTAAAAAAAATTAAAAAATAGGACACGTTTTGAATAGTGTCAAACACGTGTCCTAAGAGTGTCCAAAGAGTGTCGGTGTCCGACACTAATACGACACGGATACGTCACCTTCTTAGAAGTGTCCTGCTTCTTAGCAATCATGCTTTCTTCTTGCAAGAAAATATTTTTAATTCTTGATACTGTTTGAAATTTTTAATAAAGTATATAAAATTAAATGAATGGTTACAATTTTAAGATATGTGATGTTGTGAATACACAAATAAGTTGCAACAACCAATGTTTGGCTTACGGCCATATTATCAAGAAAAATAGATTTTTAAAATTTCCAAGACTGGAAATGCCACAAACTCTAATTTAAAGCATTTGAAAGACTCTTCCTTCTGTAGAAACTTTCCATTCGCATAACGCGAAATCCATATAATTTTCAGTTCCAATAGCCGCCAGTCAATGTCCATTATTAGAAAAAGCAAACCATAGTTTTTCCAGATGGTGTTGAGGAGGAGAACGTTGAAGAGCATATTATGAATGGTGATGAGAGTGCTAGCCTACTAGGAGAATATTTGACAATAATACTTAATTTATACCTACAAAGTTTATTTTGAAACTATCTAAATGTTTTGTCCCCAACAACTCTCCAAGTTGTAGTACATTGAACTTTTTTGAACAATATTAACAATTTAGACTATTTTAAATGTGTTCAATGGTGTAATTTGTTCACTTTGTAGTCCCATTATATTATTTTTATTATCTAGTAACATTTACAAGACATGGTAATTGAGATTATATATATATATTAAACTATTTTGAAAATTTATGATCTTTCCCCAAGCAACACACAAAAAAACCTTGCCGGACACATTCCATTATCCATAATTGTACAAAACTGTATAGAAGAGCAAGTGCCTATCACATCGCATGAGTTATAAACAAAGAAAACAACAAAGAAAAAGATGCTAAAAGTTGCAAAAGTTACATGTACATTTGTGACATTTTTTCTTTATGAAAGAGCTGGTAAAGAGCAGTATTACCTGTATCTTTCATTGAGTAATTTTGTCATACAGAAACCTCTTCTCCACCTTCCCTTAGCCTTTGAATTGCATTGTACAATTTCCGCCGAGGCCCAACAGCGAGCACGCCCATCTCCTTGAGATCTTCAAGAGTAAGTAAAGGCAAAGCTTCTTCATCCACCTCATGTATTTCAAATACGCCAGCATACTTACCAAACCCCTGCTCTTCCAACCATTTCTCAACACTATTTACATTATAACTAACAATATTCATCTTCTCACATCCACAAAAAGATTGGGGAAATGTGTTATTGCCTTCCGAACAAGAACCCTCCTTCCAAAATCCATTTGAATTCCTTTGCATCGGTTCATCAGTATCATTTTCACAAGCTTCCTTACTCGTGGCCGAAGTTTCACGACTTGAAGAGTCCTTAAAACCGCTATCATGGTAAATATCCCAGGAACCATTTGATGTGACCCCAAAAACCTCCTTCTCTCCACACTCTTTTCCATCTCCACTACTGATTTCAGGACTAAATGTAGAACTCGAACCACCAATGAACCGCCTTCGTCGCTTCATTACCCTACACTTTCGGGTTATGGTTCCGAAATCCAGATTTGACTTACAAGCACCAATTTTATCCGAACTGACAAATTCAAGAACCGGTTTCAAAGAGTTTGGGTTATTATTCTCTCTGTTATTATGTTGCATATCGGTTGAAATCATTTGAGGGACACCAGGATTTGAAACTGTGACTTTGGATGGATTTTGCAGAGAAAACCCACAAATTGGATTGTATTCTGATTCTTCATGAATCAGAAAATCATGTTTCCACCTCTTCTCCCCCAAATTTGCCCTAGTTTTCTGAGGAAAACCACAAGCAAAAGCAGCCGAGACATCTCCTATTTCCCCTAACCTAACATTTGGGCGCCTTTGCCTCTTTGAATTCATGCTTAGGACCAACATTTCCCACAAACCCTAGAGCTCAAAATCTGAACAAAACCCTAAAAACACACCCACAAAATAAAATTAAAAAAATCATAGCCAGCAAACAATAAATCTAAAGAAACCCAACAAAACCCAGAAACGCAGATATATATATATATATATATGTATGTATATAATTGAAAAACAAATATTAATATCTACAGTACTGAGCAAATTGAGAGCTCCGAACTGAACCCAGATAAGCAAATGAAGATAGAAGCAGTAATCATATTCAATACATGCAAAACAATGATAGCAACCAAAATAGATAAATAGAAAGGAAAAAAAATGAACCTTCTGAGAGAGTAACAGAGACAACAGAGTTTCAATTTATCCATATTTCCCAAAGTGAAGTTTTTGATGAAATTGAGATGCAAAATAGGTATGTTGAAGTGGCTTGTAATTCCTTTCTACTAAAAGCCAAAAAAGAAGTAGAGGAAGGGTTTAGAATTTGTAGGAGTATGTGTTTTTTGATAGAGTTTGGATGACGTTCAGACATAGATGGTGACATTTCGAAATCTGGGGAAGTCAATTGGAATTTGAATGGCAGTCCCAGTGGGCGCAGATCAGCTGCTACACCCTGTTTGGTTTGCTCCAGTCTTTCTAAAGGGACTTGCTTCTATAAGTACTGAATCGGACTGGAGAGCGGGAAGTCATCTACTTTTTGAAAATAAACACGATGAAAAAAAATATTACAATTATCGGATCGATCTAATTTTTTTTCATAGATGATATATACTGAGACCTTACAAAATGAACGATTCGGATCATTAAAACGAAGTCCAATATTTTTTAAGTACTTTTTCATTATTATTATTAAATTTTAAAAAATTGATACAATTATTATTATTATTATTCTTTATAATAAAATAAAAAAATTTTCAATTCTTTTTTTTCTTATCATTGAGAAATTACTATAAAAAATAAATAAATAATTATGAAGAAATTGAGTTTTTAGCCAAACTAATTAGATCATTTTAGCCAAACAAAATTACTTATTTCAAGATTGTCAAATAGGACATATTATTTTGTGATTTTTTTTTAAGAAGAAATTATATGACAGTGGTACTGTTTTAAAATAATTACGCGTTTATGAAAAAAAAAAGGAAAAATTACAAACACCCCCTCAAGGTTTGGTAAAAATACAAATTTCTTCCTGAGGTTTGAAAAATTACATCCCACCCCCTGAGGTTTACATTTTCATAACAAATTACCCTCTGAGGTTTTTATTTTCATACAGATTCCTCCCTAATTTCCCCTAATTTGTTATGAAAATTTGACCTTTAGGGGGCAATTTGTAATTTCTCAAACCTCAGGGGGAATCCGTATTTTTATCAAATTTCGAGGGGGTGTTTGTTATTTGTCCAAAAAAAAATTATAACTTTAATTATTAATATTTATCATAAATTTGTAATTATTTAAAAAAAAAAACAACTAATTTGTTGGAATGTTTTGGAAACTTAACTAAAAGTTAATTTTTAACTTTTTAATTTATTATGAGTCCGATCATTTTTTATTTTTTTTACATATTTTTTTTAAAAAAATTAAAAAATAACTTTTAATTTATTTTTCAAAACGAGCAGTTATTTTTTATTTTTTTTTATTTTTTTATTTGTAAAAAATACACTGAGACAGTGGGCTATTGTTAAAAGTACAGCCTAACTTTTGCCAATTTGAGAAAATAGAGGACATAGTTTTCATTAAAAAAAATTACGGAAAAGAAGACGATTCCAGAACAGCAGCAAGAAAATATTCTCTGTACTCATCCAGCCAAAAAATGAAATAAAAAATCAGCGAAACTTGGCAATGTCAAAATTTTAGTTTTTATTTATTTATTTAATTGTAGATGGAGACATTTTAAAGTCAATTGCATGGGCCAGTCTCATAGCACTATTTGATACTTATTTATGTTAATTATTAAAAAATTATAAATAAAATATAATGATTCGTATTTATTAAGTGATTGAGACAATAGAATGGAGGTCTCATTCAATTTAGGAAAAATTAGTAAAATATCTTTTTCTTAAATTTATGTAGTAGGAGAGGTTTAAAGTTTTTTTTTTATCAATTAACTTCTCTAGATGAAATTTTTTTATGATTATACTAGATAAATTTCGAAAATTCTTTGTGAAATTAGATAAATTCTCTGTGTTGGACCCGAAATTTCTCTGAGTTGGATCAAAATTTCTCTGAATCGGGCATAAATTTCTCTAAGTTAAATTTTATCTGTAAAAATATTGAGGGACCCAAAATATTATATATCAGTTATCTTATAAAATTTTAATATCAAGAACCTTAAAAAAAATTCCCCTTTAATTTATGGGAAAATTAGTCTAAGGTCTCTCTCCCATTTTTAGTAATGAAAGAGATCCATAATATTATTTTATGATGTCTAAAGTCCCTCAACCGTACACTCAATAAATTTGACACACTCTCTCTCTTTCTCTCTCCGAAACCACCCAATTTCCTCCCAAATGGACTCTCAATAGTTGGACTTCCAAACAAGCCTCTCAGCTTCCCGAATACCCAAACAAAGTAGCACTACAAGAAATTACACATTTGCTGACTAAAAAAATTTTGGTCGCCAAAAAATGACATTTGCTGACCAAAAAAAAATTTCGTAGGTAAAAGTTAATACTATTACCGACTAAAGTAATTTTGTTGCAAAAAAGTATTTTTTGCAACCAATTTAAAATATTAGTCGCTAAAAATATAAGCGGGAGGCAAAAAATTATTTTTTATCTTTGGCGACCAAAAGTTTGGTCGCTAAAAATTTATTTTCAGCAACTAAAAAATATTTTAGTCGCTATATAGTTAGTTTTGGCTACTAAAATTATTTAGTCACCGAATGAAAAATAAAAAAAAATATTTTATATCTTTAGCAACCAAAAGTTTGGTCGCCAAAAATTTATTTTTAGCGACTAAAAAACATTTTAGTCGCTGTATAGTTAGTTTTGGCTACTAAATTATTTAGTTGCCAAATGAAAAACAAAAAATTACTTTTTATCTTTGGCAACCAAAAGTTTGGTCACCAAAAATGTATTTTTAACGACTAAAAAAATTTTTTGTCGATGTATAGTTAGTTTTGTCTACTAAAATTATTTAGTTGTAAAATGGAAAACAAAAAATTACTTTTTATCTTTGGTGACCAAAAGTTTGGTTGCTAAAATTTTATTTCTAGCGACTAAAAAATATTTTTGTCGCTGTATAGTTAATTTTAGCTTCTAAAATTATTTAGTCGCCGAATGTAAAACAAAAAATTATTTTCAGCAAATAAAAAATATTTTAGTCATTGTGTAGTTAGTTTTGGTTACTAAAATTATTTAGTTGTCGAATGAAAAACAAAAAATTACCTTTTATCTTTGGCGACCAAAAGTTTTGTCGCCAAAAATTTATTTTCAGCTACTACAAAAATGTTTAGTCGCCAAATAATTAAAATATTTGGAGGGAAACTTTTCAAATTTTGAAAAGATTTATAAATATTTAGTCGGGAATGGTGTAAAATGACCAATATATATTTTGCACATCTATATAACAAAACATCTCTGCTTTTTTACTCCTAATGGAACTTTTGTCCCTTTGTCAAAACATACACCATTAGATTGAATTCAATCCAAGGACTCACAATGTCTCGCTCTCTATTTGGTCCAAACATCAGTTTATACACCCCATCCATCTCTCTCTCTCTCTCTCTCTCTCTCTCTGACACACATACACTCTCAAATTTTGAACACACTCCTCTTTCAAATTTTGAAGACACCCCATTTCCCTCTCTCTACCTCCATCGGAGCCCATTCCCATGCTTCCCTGTCGGAGCCCAACCCTTGCCGGCGACCAAACCCCAAACCCTCTATTACTTTGTTCATCTTCTCTCTTCCTTCATCCCTCTCTCCGCCATCCCAATCATCATCAATAGTGGCAGCCCCAAAGACAAAGATCGAGTACAAGGGTATTCAACAAATTCGAATCTAGTAGAAATACTATTCAGGTAAGCAAACCCATCTTATTTGAGAACCAAAATTAAAACCTGTGCCCATGTATTTGGGAACCAAAATTGGTGTGAAAGCATATAAAGCTATTTCGAAATCCTGTGCTCGTGTATGGATTTCATGAAAGTAAATGTCCAACTTTTACCGACTAAAAGAAATTTAGTTGCCAAATTTCTAGTATAATTTTCTTTTTAATCTTTGGTAACTACCTAATTTGGTCAGGAAATATATATTTTTGGTGACCAAAACACATTTAATCAGCAATAAAACTCAATTTTTTAATTTGGGAACACTTATACCGCCCAATTTGAGTTTATGTTTAATTTTATTATTATTTTATTTTATTTTTTATTATTATCATTTTGGAGGGATTTTTAAATTAATTTGGTGAGGAACTTGGAGGGATTTTAAACACACTAAAATGAGTTAGGGCTTAAAAACATATGTTTCTCTCTCTGTGACACTCACATAATCTCTCTCTCTCTCTCTCTCTCTCTCTCTCTCTCTCTCTCTCTCTCTTTCTCACACACACACACACATGTTGGTTGCCCTCCTTTTGATATTGAATCTTTGTCACTTTGTTTCCATCATTGTCGGGTAAGGAGCATCACCGCCATCGAGCACCACCATCGATCTACTATTTAAGCATTACGCCTAGGTATGTCCCATCTATTTTTCCTACTCTCTATCTCTCTCTCTCTCTCTCTCTCTCTGCGGTAGGTAGGTAGTGAGAAATATATGTAGGGGAATAAGGAGCTTCGTCGAAACTGAAAAGAGCAGCAAGGAAAATTGCACAAACATGCGGGTCTCTCTCACACAGACAAAACCCTTTTGACGATGATCCCTTTGCCTCCCCTAAACTCACTGTCTGTTTCTCTTCCTTTTATTCCTTTCTTTCTACTAAAATGCTTGTTTTTTCAATCCGATTAGATTATTGTCCAGTTCCAAATTGAAAAATGAATCTACATTGGCACATGGTTGTTTAATTTTATATATTTGTGCTTTCTATCTTGCAGGTCTCGTCAATTTCACCCATAAATCCTCCTCTAAACCCAGGGACCTCTGCTTCTGCCACCCAACCCCTTTCTTCAACCACTGTTTCCAAGGTATGTCAACAACAATTCACCTTTTATATGCACATCTCTATGTGTGTGTATAGGGAAACACTATTTATGCAACTTATAATTTCTAGGGTCAAGTGTTTGTGTAAATAACAAAGAATACGAGTGGGAGAAAGTTGAGGTAAATACTATGGTGTTGGAGAGGGTTATTTGACATTGTCAATGGCCATATGATTGTTGTGATTGTTGTGTTGATTGCTGACAAACCACAGATGGTAGTCATGCTGGGTTCAGCGGTGGTGGAGATATAGAGTTAAGATGAAAGAGGATGAAGAGTTGGGGGTGTACGTGATGGTGAAGGTGACGGTGGAAGAGGGCCGATTAGGAGGAGCGAGGTGAGGGCATTGAATAGTTGCATATCTCTCTTTTTTCTTTAACTGAATGGGTATTGGCAACACAGTGTGCGGAGGTGGGGTTGCCTACCAAATGTTTGATGAAATGTGTTGGTTCCAAAATTGTGTAATAGCTTCTCTAGTTGATGAGGCAATAGGTACCCGCAACATGTTTGATGACAAGTGTCAACTTTCTTCTGTTTTTTTTTTTTTTTTTTTGAACATTATTGTTCTTGTTTGCTAGGAAATTTTAATTCTGAATTTTCTTGTTGCTAGATGGTTTGAAAATTGCAATTAAATTAGCACTTCTTCTTAAAGTATTAGTCTATTTGTTTTGTTGTGTACTATTAGAAACTCTTCTCTTTTGCTTTTATAATTCCAGTATGTGACTTAGAGAAGTAATATGTATATGTGTATATATTGAATTCATTTTCATTTGTTTCTTTTCAGTTGGCCGGTCAAATTGCACACACTGGTTTATTTTGTGGTGAAAGGAAGGTATGCGTGGTTTAGGTGAAAAATTCTTATGCATCCATGAAGTGTGAATTCTATCCCTTGGTATTTCACTCTGTTTTATGATTGTATAACTTATGTTGCTTTTAGATAGGGGGCCCATTGCCATGGTCTACTAGGGTGCAAATTGCCCTTAATTTAGCTAGAGGATGTCGTGACCCAACCTTAGGGGCTTAGGGTTAGAATCGCAACTTACTAACTTATTCTAATCGTAGCAAATTAAACTATGCAAGCGAAGGCAAACGGAAATAAAAATAATTAAACAGAAAGTTACTTCATTCTACTATAAAAAAAAATTAAAAAAAAAAAGAGTACATCCATAGGCTTTTATTATTTTATTAAGCAGCGACCGGCCATAAAAAATTAAAAAAAAAAAAAAAAAAAACGACAGGAAGAAAAGAAAAGAAAAACAAATTAACGGATCTGCATCAATTTCTTGCACAGGTTCCGTTACACGAGGTTATGGGTCTTCCTTACATCTCATCACCTGAAAGGGTAACAGCTATAAGCACACAGCAGAGTGAGAAATATTATGCCAAGAGCATAGGGAATACAAAATAACCATGGATAGTTAGTTAAGCCAAAACATTTACATAACTTAATTTGGTAAATAAATCATTTAAGTGGCAGAAGTGACAGTCAGAACAAAGGCCAATGGTTCCATGACAAACAGAGGACCACAAAGTGGCCAAATGGAGGCCATTGGTTATTTAAGTCTCCTAAGGCGTGGGACTCCCGTGGTGGTACTTACAAAACATAATTTTTTATAAGGTCACAGTCAAATATTCTTTAAAATTTAAACAAACATATCCATGGATTTTATTTTAAACAAATAGAGTTCAAAAATTAATCCACATAGTTGAAATATTAATATAACTTATAAAATATAACTTGTATAAAATAAATTATGGTAAGTCAAAACATATGTAAAATATATTATGGTGACTCGAGGTATAATATATCTCACCTTAAGATTGAGTCTTACTAATTCCTTTCGATTTTCGTTGGTTTTCGGCCCCTCCTTTGCTCTTTATTTTATTTTATTTTTGTTGATTCCTTCTCCTTTTTTTTTTCTTTGTTTTTCCGTTCACTTTACAGCACCTCCTCCCCCTATTTATACACATAACTTCAAGTGATGACTCATCCTTATCTAATGGCCCCAAGGTGATGACTCACCTCTCCTGTCCTCTCTAATCCTAGGTGTCCAGATGGCCCCTCACTCCTTCATCGCAGCATATTCGCAATCATTGTAATTAATGGTACTTAATTTGTTTAATTATATCTATACATGCTAATCTTCTCACATTAATTAGTGATTAACTTAGCCCCTGAATAAATCTCCTCATTATATATTTGATAACCACAATGACAAATTAATTTACATAGCACGTATAGCTTATTTATATTATTACTTCCATTATTATTATTATTATTATTATTATTAACTTATACTTTATCGCATACAATCACAAAATTAATTATTTTATTTTAATATTATAGATTATTATCATTTTTATTAATAATCGTGGTTGGTTGTGGTATTAATTAAATATTTAAGGTGTCACATTTCTCTCCTCCTAAATAGAAGTTTGTCCCCAAACTTGACGTACCTTAATTTTCGAAAAGGTGCGGGTATTTGGCTCGCATTTGACTATCAGTTTCCCATGTCGCTTCTTCGATTCGATGATTTCTCCATAAAACTTTTACCAGCGGGATGGTCTTATTTCGAAGAACTTCATCACAACGATCGAGAATCTGTATTGGTTGCTCTTCATAAGAAAGGTTCTCTTGAACTTCCAAGTCCTCATAATCAATAACTTGTTATGGATCTCGAAGATACCGTCGAGGCATTGAAACGTGAAACACATTGTGGACATTGGATAATTCAGGTGGTAGTGCAAGGCGATAGGCTACAGGGCCAATCCTTTCCAGTATCTCGAATGGCCCGATGTAACGTGGGTTTAGCTTTCCTTGCTTTTCAAATCAGATAACTCCTCTTGTTGGTGAGATCTTGAGGAACACATGATCCCCTACTTGAAATTCCAAGTCCCATCTTCATGTATCTGCATAATTTTTCTGGCAGCTCTGAGCAGCGCGAATTTGCTGTTGGATGAGTTGGATTTTCTCACTTGTCACTCACACGATCTCGGGGCCTAACAGTTTCCTGTCCCCAACTTCCGTCTAGCATAGAGGTGATCAGCATCTCTTTCCATACAGAGCTTCGTACGGCGCCATTCCAATGTTTGCTTGATAGCTGTTGTTATAGGCAGATTCCATTAAAGGCGGGTGCTCATCCCAGTTACCTTTGAGGTCCAACACGCATATACGTAACATGTCTTCCAACGTCTAGATTGTTTTTTCAGATTGCCCATCAGTTTGTGGTTGATAAGCAGTGCTAAATTTCAGTGTAGTTCCCAAAGCTTCTTACAATTTGTTCCAGAAGTGAGACAGGAAGCAAGGGTCTCGGTCAGACACGATTGAAACTGGGATACCATGCAAACGAATAATTTCCTTGATGTATAAGTGAGGGAGTACATGATTTTGATTGGCAGAAAATGCGCCAACTTCGTCAATCGATCTAATATAACCTATATTGCATCATTCTTCGAAAATGACTGAGATAGCCCGACCACAAAGTCCATAGTGATGTGTTCCCATTCCATTCAGGAATAGGGAGTGGTTACAGTAATCCTGCAAGTCTCTAATGTTCTGCTTTAATACGCTGACAATGCAGACATTTAGAGTTATAGCTTGCTATGTCTCTTTTCATTCCTGTCCACCAGTAGTGTTCCTTTAGATCATGGTACATCTTTGTGTTCCAAGGGTGGACCGCAAATCTCGAGCTATGAGCTTCCACTAATATCTTCTTCTTGAGTTCCGGAATGTCGGGTACGCAAATTCGATTTTGAAATTTTAGTATCCCATTGCTTATAGTGAAATCAAGATCAGGTGTACACCTTTACTCCTCGTACTTTTTCTTCAAAAGGTTATCTTCATATTGGCGTGCTCTAATTTCTTTAATCAAGGTAGGTTCCACAGTTATGTTGGTGAGCAGTCCATTGATCTTGCGGGAAATGAGAGTACATGCCAAACCTCTAGTCGTTTTTCGGCTCAGTGCGTCTGCCACCACGTTAGCTTTGCCTGGATGGTGATGGATCTCTACATCATAGTCTTTCATAAATTCTAGCCACCGCCGTTGTCTCATATTCAATTCCTTCTATGTGAACAGATATTTAAGACTCTTGTGATCAGTGTAAACTTTACAAGTTACACCGTAGAGATAATGACGCCAGATTTTGAGAGCAAAAATCATCGCAGCCAATTCCAGATCATGAGTTGGGTAATTCTTTTCATGAGTCTTTAGTTGTCGCGAAGCATAAGCAATGAATTTTCCATTTTGCATAAGAACGCAACCCAAACCATTGTATGAGGCATCACTATAAATTACGAACCCATCTGCTCCTGTAGGGAGTGCCAATATAGGAGCTGACACAAGTCGACTTTTTAATTCTTGAAAGCAGTGCTCCTATTTGTTAGTCCATTCAAAGGGTATGTTTTTCTGAGTTAGCTGGGTTGAAAGTGATGCTATTTTTTAGAAATCTTGTACGAAGCGTCGGTAATAACCAGCTAGACCCAAGAAACTTCGAATTTCTGACACATTGGTAGGTTGTGGCCAATTCACGATTGCTGCAACTTTTTGGGGGTCAACCGAGATGCCATCTTTGTTAATGACGTGACCAAAAAAGTGTACACTAGTGATCCAGAATTCGCATTTCTTCAACTTGGCATAAAGTTTGTGATCAGTAGTGTTTGTAGAACCGTTCGCACGTGCTGCTCATGGTCTTTCGATGACTTGGAGTTTATGAGGATGTCGTCAATGAAGACGATGACGAACTCATCAAGGTAGGGTTTGAACACTCTGTTCATGAGGTCCATGAAGGCTGCTGGGGCATTTGTGACACCAAAAGGCATGACAAGAAACTCGTAGTGCCCGTAACGAGTTTGAATGCAATCTTTTCGATGCTTTCCGTTTTGACTTTTAGTTGATGGTAACCAGAACGCAAGTCAATTTTGGAGAATACCTGAGCGCCTTGAAGTTAATCGAACAGGTCATCGATTCGTGGTAGAGGGTATCGATTTTTTATGGTGACCTTGTTCGGCTCCCGATAATCGATACATGACCTTATCGTGCCATTCTTTTTCTTCACGAACAATACTGGAGCTCCCTAGGGTGAGGTACTAGGTCGAATGAAACCTTTGTCCAGGAGTTCCTGGAGTTGATTCTTCAGCTCTTTCAATTCTGTTATCGATATGTGATAAGGAGCTTTTGATAGTGGTTGTGTGCCAGGTTGGGTTTCAATGGTGAATTCGATTTCTCGATTAACCGGGATACCAGGTAAATCTTCAAGAAAAACATCTGGGAATTCTCGTACTACGGGGATCGCATCAACGGTGGGGGCCTCTTTTTGTGTGTTGATCACATAACAAATATAACTACCATAACCCTTTCTTAGAAGTCGTTGGGCTGTCATGGAGGATATAATACAAAGAGGGTTGTAAACTCCAGTCCCATCAAAGACAAGCTCAGGTTGGTTTGGTAACCTGAGGGAAACCTTTTTGGCTTTACAATCAATAAAGGTGTGATGGGCAGCCAGCCAATCCATACCTAAGATCACATCAAAGTTCCTAATGCGGAGGGGAATCAAGTCTACATATAAGGTTTTGCCTTTTAGGAATATAGCACAAGATATGTACACATCAGTACTACGAGCAGACTAACCAGAAGGAAAAGACACAGACAATATATATCAGAGTCAATAAAGACGTGAGCTAAATGACCATAGACAGAAAGTATACCTGACACAACGTTTTCGGTCTTCTGGTATTCCAAGTACCAAGGCAAAAGCCATTCCTTGGCGTTTTTGGTCTTTCCTTTCTCCTCTAGGTGCTACGGGTTTTCTGACTGCGCTAGAGGGGCTAGCTGCAGAATTGGTCAGCTTTGGACAATCCCTCAGCAGGTGGCCAACTTGACTGCATTTAAAGCATGCTCCCGTGTCTCGATGGCATTGTCCCCAATGAGCCTTTCCACAAGTGGGACAAATTGGAATAGTGCCACCTCGGGGGTTAGTAGGACCTTGATGGCCTGAATTGGTTGTGCCCGTATTCACCTTCTTAGGAGGCGCAACACCAGGTCTTCTATTGTCTCTTTCTCATAATCGCTTCTTTTAGCTTGGTTACCCGGAACGCGAGGCTTTAATTCCCTTTTTTGCAATGTACGCCCGGTCTACTACTTCTGCATAGGTTGGCAGTTTCAAGACCTCAAGCCTATCTTTAATTTCAGCATCCAATCCTGCTTCAAATTTTCTTACTTTTCGAGTTTCGGTGGGGATGACGTATGTCGTAAACCGAGCAAGTTGTGTGAACTTGCTCTCGTATTCGGCCACCGTCATGGTTCCTTGTTTTAGATGTATGAATTCTGATGTCTTCTGTTCCTGTAATGAATCTGGAAAGTATTTTTCGTAAAATATTTCTAAGAATCTTGCCCAAGTCGCAATTTCACCATTCTTGTGCATTGTCTTTAAAAGTAAAAGTGGCGAAAGTTACCTCTCGTCTTTAGGTGTAGGGTAGGGCGTGAAAAATCTTTTCCATGTCTTTCACCCAAGCATCCACTACCATTGGGTTTGGACTACCGATAAATGTGATGGGTTTCAGATCTTGGAACTGTTTTATTGTAACCGGCTCTTCTTGCCATGTCGGCATCCCATTGTTAATGTTAGTCTGCAAGGCTTGCAAAAAGTTAGTAACCGCTCTTTCCATTATTCTTTCCATCGATTCTGTGCCACTGACTGATGATGCGCTTCCGTTACCATTATTGGCCATTCTACAAAGTAATAAATGAGGCATTACATTCATAATGCAGCATGTGTAGCGCAATCTATATCTATATAAAATACCAACTTTACTATTTTTACAATTAATATTGCACTTTGTTTCAAAAGTCAGAATATGTTAGTGTCTCATCCCTGTGGTAAAACAAAACAAAAACAAAAAAGACAACAAAAAGGGATTATAACACATCATGGTCAGCGTGCAAAAATGTTTTCTTCTACCAAATCTAGAGTGGTGGGTCAAACAGGCCGAACAACCATGGGAAGTAGTGTTGCATAAAAAGCTCAAATTCCCATCCTAATTGGACTACACCAAAACATATCCATGCTGCCGAGACTATGAAAATAGGGACAGACTGTATATATCCCAAAAATGCTCGATCGACAATCTAGCAGGGTGTCTCGATATATGACAAGTCATTATTAAAGTTAACATTTTGAATATTAATTATCTCCAGCAGGTTAGGGATAGTGGTAAAAATATAGTCCTCGGGGTACACGTTCCCCCTTCTTGCTACAAAATCTAGGGGTAGAGGGCCTATGATGTAGTACGGGCGGTCATGTCCCGGGGCAATGCTAAGGACACAAGTGAGTCCAAGAAAACGTCCGTGCGTATAGGCATGGCTTTGCTTCCATAGTAAATGTGGGACATCAGTAGGATTAGCCTGTATATAGATTAGTCGACTTATCAATTGGGCAAGGCCTGGATGCAGTCCTCTAATTATATCCTCTTAATCTCCCCATCCTTCAGGTGAGGCGGGGACGGGGTGCTCTGCTAAAATCTCATCTAAATTAATGGCCCTAAGCTCATCCCAAAATGCATCATCAAGGTTAATCTCGGACATTCCTACATCACCAGAAGAAACGTGAGATTTTACACAAAAGGACTAGCGTTGCAGGTAAATATTTATTTATTTATATTATGTTTATCTAGCTGTATAGTTTTATTTATAGATTTATTTCTAACTTTTTGAACTTTCTGATCAAATTAAAATAGCATTTTTTTTAATGAACCATTGCTCTGATACCACCTTTGTCACGACCCAATCTTAGGGGTTTAGGGTTAGAATCGCAACTTACTAACTTATTCTAATCGTAGCAAATTAAACTGCACAAGCGGAGGTAAACGAAAATAAAAATAATTAAACAGAAAATTACTTCATTCTACTAAAAAAAAAAAAGAGTACATCCATAGGCTTTTATTATTTTATTATGCAGCGACCAGCCATCAGAAAAAAAATGATAGGAAGAAAAGAAAAGAAAAACAAATTAACGGATCTGCATCAATTTCTTGCACAGGTTCCACTACACGAGGTTATGGGTCTTCCTTACATCTCACCTCCTGAAAGAGTAACAGCTATAAGCACACAGCAGAGTGAGAAATATTATGCCAAGAGTATAAGGAATATAAAATAACCATGGATAGTTAGTTAAGCCAAAACATTTACATAACTTAATTTGGTAAATAAATCATTTAAGTGGCAGAAACTAAAATACATAAATTATATAAATAAATAACCATAACCACGATACAGAACAGAACAGAATAAAACAGAAGTCACAGAAGTGACAGTCAGAATAGAGGCCAATGGATCCATGACAAACAGGACCACAAAGTGGCCAAACGGAGGCCAATGGTTTTTTAAGTCCCCCAAAGCGTGGGACTCCCATGTGGTACTTACAAAACATAATTGTTTATAAGGTCACAGTCAAATATTCTTTAAAATTTAAACATACATATCCATGGGTTTTATTTTAAACAAATAGAGTTCAAAAATTAATCCACTGTAGACACCCCATTTTTGACCGACCTTAAAACTCAGACGTCACTGATTGAGCGCTCGGTGATATTGCATATTGCGCTCGTTCAGAAGTTTCAGAGTCCCAGCTGTAAGCCTTGCCTCCGGACTTTCGGACTCTTTCGTGCCTTGTCTCGGTTTGCGAACCAGGCTCTGTTTTCTCTCTTTTCTCTTCCCGAAGGGAGAAAGAGGTCTCGTAGATCATCTCTAAGTGGCCGTAGGCTACGTTTCGTGGTCGTAGGCCATTTTTCCCTTTTTGGAGCCCGGTTTCCGATTTTTCTGAGCCGACGGCCGTGTGCCTCTGTTCGGGACCGCCTAACCACCTCCGTTTGCTCCGGTTTTTGGCACACACCTTATTTACTCCCTTTTGAGGAACACTGTGGCCCGAGAGACCAACTTCGTGGTCGAATGCCACCTCCGGTGCTTAACAACCCATTTTCGGGGCCCCCGGGCCACGCGTTTCGGTCCCCGAACCTTCGTTTTGCATCTGTTTTGGTTTTTTTTTGGTGGAGACCTTATTTTCATAGTTAGGAAGCTTGTAGGAGGGTGGGAGGCCAGCAATTGTTCTGAAAAGCCAACTTTATTTCTTCATCGCTCTTCGACGCCCGTTTTCCTCACTTGAAAGCCAATGTTGACCGCCCCGGGGCCACTTTATTGAACCCTAAATCCCATATTTGTGTTGTACACACCTGGGAGGCCACCAATATTTGGTGGCCGACCAGTAATTGTGCCTGAACCTTTTGAACCCCTCTAAAAAATGGTCTTTTCTCTCTCCTAGTTCACTTTTTCTGGGTTTTGACTACATAGTTGTGTTATGCACATATGGGAGGCCACCTTTTTTAGATGGCCGACCAGCAATTGTCCTTGACCCTTTTGACCCTTGGTCAGCCGGCCATGGGGGGTAGCCGGCCGGCCCCCTGAACCTTCTGAACCTGGCCGGCCATGACCCTCTCACCTGGTTCGTTACAGCTGTACTCTCTGTTTCCCCCCATGTCTTGTATCCGAGGGAGGGTCTTTTAGGGGGGAAAATTTGAATTTGATTTTCCCCCATTTTTTCTCCACTCCTCTCCTCTATAAAACCAACCCCTCAGCTCCTTGTTTGAGGGTTACAAAAATTGGTTTTGAGCTCTTGCATTCAATCTCTCTCTCTCTCTCTCTACCCCAAGCATCAAAACCTCTTAAGTCCTACACCATTTACCTTACACCTCATAGCACAAGGCCTCCATCCTTCATTCCAGCACTTTGGGACTGTTTTGGAGAGGTTAACGGCTCAAAAATTTGGTCCAAGAGCTGCTGGTTCATTGGTCTTCAAGGATAAGTCTTCTTTTCCTCTTTTCTTGCCTTGTTTTGCATGCTATCTAAGCCATACTTGAAAGGTTTTTTGGGCTCCGACCCAAACTGTAAATAGTCATAATTTGAGCCCCTTTTCATGTTTGATCAAGGACCTCCTGCTGTTTGAGGTCTTCTACTATCACTTGCCTCTTTATCTCTCTTTTAGACCAATTTTTTGCATAGTATTTTAGGCTTATTTGTGAGTTTTTTTGGACTTAGTAATAAAATGTAAAATAACTTTTTTTGAGCCCCTCTTCAACATTGTTGAAGGGCTCTCCTCGGTTTGAGGTATCCTTCTATCACTTGCCTCTTTATCTCTCTTTTAGGCCAATTTTTGCATAGTATTTTAGGCTTATTTGTGAGCTGTTTTGGACTTTTACATAAACTGTGAAATATCTTTTTTTGAGCCCCTATTCAACATTGTTGAAGGACTCTCCTCTGTTTGAGAACAGAAGCTACCACTTGTCTCTTTACCCCTCTTTTAGCCATTTTCTTGCATGATAGTTTGGCCTTATTTGTGATTATTTTTGTGGCTTGATGTAAACTGTAAAGTTCCTTTTTTTGAGCCTCTCTTCAACTTTGTTGAAGGGATATTTTCCATTTGGGGTCATCTGCTGTCCCTTGTGTTTAATCTCTCTTTTAGGGCCATTTTTGCATGATAGATTAGCCCTATTTGTGTTCATTTTTTAGGCTTGTTATAAACTGAAAATATGCATGTTTTGGGACTTTATTGCATCTGTCTTCATGCTTCATGATCAAATAATACATGCTTTGTATAGCTGTAAGTCATTCCATGTGCCTAGTTTCGAATTTCGGGGTTCGTTCCATGCATCGGGTGCCATGTTTCCATGTTTCGGGGCTATTTTGTATCATATTCCAATGCTGAAATTCGCATGTTTGCATATCATGTTCCATGCCTTGCCATGCTTTGGGTAGAGTGGCATTTGATGCCTTAGGCTTGGTCCTCGGTTCGCGTCCATGTGTGTAAGCATTTCGAGTGTCTCATTTTCATCTAATGGCTACTAATGTGAGTGTGGCTGAGGTCCACTCATATTGGTGTAAGTCCATTGTGCATTATGTATGTCATTCCATTTCATAGCATTGTGTATGCTAGGTTGTATGTTAGCGCATTGTGTATGTCATGTTACCTCGTGCATCGTGTATGCCATTTCATAGCATTGTGTATGCTAGGTTGCATGTTAGAATTGCATTCATGCATATTGCATTGCGTTTGGGATAGGAGTTAGCCCAAGCACGGGAAACGAGGGTCGTTTCGTACTTCAAGTGACGGAACGTGTCTCAATTCCCAGTCACCGACACTCCGGATAATCCATGATGGAGTTTAGGTCTTGTTGTGTTTATATGTGCATTCATTTCATATTGAGTCGTGCAATTCGACTCCTCGGCCATCATGCATCGATATGCGTGATTGGTGGCACGAGGATCGAGGACTACACTCCTCGAAGAGTAGTCATGCATACATATGTGAAAATACTTTGCCATGCCCCTTTGTTGCTCTCTGTTGCAGCAAATCAGAAATCGGCAGCCTTCCGGAGCTTGGCACGCATTCCAAGAACAATTGCAAACAGAGGCAAACCGGGGCATCGCAAGGGATTCTTTGCACAAGGTAACCCGAGCATGCATCATTCATCATCCGAAGCAGATTTGAGGCAGTCCCTGGCTTGTATGCCAATTTATTGCTTTCCTAATTTAATTTGTTAATTAATTAGGGTTTTGTACATATTTGGACTGTAATTATTCATTTGGGACTGTATATTAATTTATTCGGACCCTCTGCGCGAGGGCAATGTTGTTAATAAGTGTGCGTGTGTGTGATGTATTGTCTTCCAACCCACGTCTTTCTCCCTTTTATTTACCCGCTTATGATGGTTAGATTAAGACATGTTTCAAATTAGCATACAGTACGACAGCATGTTTGTATTCATTCATCTGTTTTGCATGCACCGGCTCGGCGCATCATACTAACTGCATTGTATTTTCAATTCCAAGTTGAATACATGTTAGCTGTAGCATTTCATATGTCATGTTTAGAATAGCCGAGCCTGCTATAGTTGCATTTTTGCATGTGTTGCATTAGGCATTTCTGTATAATTAGGATCATGCGTGGATTTCTAATTAGCTTCTGTTTTGGCTTGGAGTACTCGGTAAGTTTTATGCTTTAGCATCCTTGCATACGTGTGAGTGATGCCCATGAATAGCATGCTTACCATGAAGCTAATTGCTTATGTGATATAACTGCCTGAATGCCTATGGTGAAGGTTGGATTATTTGGATTGGAACAATTCGTTGACTGTGAGTTTTAAGCCCACTAGATTGTGCAAAAATCATGTTTTTTTTCTAAGCCCACGCGAGGGTGGCAATCACGTCTTAGCTACTTGCAGGTAGCACCATCAAAACACTTTCAAAAATAAACATGAAATGTTTTGTCCAATTCAGGCGATCCAGTCTATACTTGTATGCTGTGCACATCACATAGTAAATCTAGGCTAATAACCGGAATAAAACGCATAATGTTTTCAAAAATAGATATCATGGTTAGTAGAGGTCGATCTTTGATCGGGCGAGCGAGGGTGCTCATTTCAGGCTTCCCCTCTCGTACCCAAGTTCCTGAGCCGAGGCAACTTTGGTGATGACGGACACGTGGCCTTAGGCAAACGAGTCAGGGTTTCCTAAATTTCCCCAAAAATAAAATATTTAGGTGGCGACTCTGTATCTGGCAAAGCAGTCCATGTTTGGCACTTCTTTCAAAATCAGTTTTCTCAAAACGATTTGTCGAATTTGGACTCTTTGGTTCAGATTTAGAACCGTGACAATTTGAGAGTCTTGAACTGTAGTGAGCCCAATATGAACAGAACGGGGGGGACTTGCCCTCCCGGGGCGTTCGGGGACGTCTACAGTTTCTGGCGACTCTGCTGAGAAGTTAGAGAACTTGACTCGAACTCATGATATCTGTTTTTTACTACACTTGTGTGTTTCTTTTCATTACATGTGCATTGGTGCGCCTAGGACACCGTGTTTGCCATCTGCTATTCCTGAACGGTTTGCTGGAGGCTTGTCTTGTCAAGGCATGACTATAAGGCTGACCGGTTGTGGGCTCTGCCAGTATGAGAACACAAACCCCGGTTTTACCGGGGCACCCTTTTGACCATTCGACCTAGTGCATATTCGGAATCCATAGTGACCATTCCAAGCTAGGACAGGTTACTTACCCGATTTAGGTTGTTTGAAACCGCTGCGTGCGTAGTGAAACCCTAGCTCCTGACAAAATAGAACAGGGAAACCCTACCCCAACATAGGGGTGTTTTGGCTCTCACTTGTCTGCTATGTGCTTTTAGAGTGCGTCTCTATAGGAATGCATATATTAGTCTACAAGTTTGGGCATCAGGCCTGCAGGCACCAGTTTAGTAGTTTGGGCATCAGGCCTGCGGGCACTAGTTCAGTACTTTGGGATTCAGTTCACCTAAGGGTATCAGTTTACGGGCAAAATTTTGGGCAAAATTCTGTAGGAGGCACAGTCATTTAGCTCTGCTCATATGGGTTATCGTGAAATCGGGCTGAGATGCTGCATGTTTTCTCTTTTACTAGGTAGTCTGAGAACCATAGCTTCAGAGGGCTCCAATATGCCCCGGGTACACCGAACTTGTGTTGATGGACTTTGTCGGGTCAGAGATTCAGTTCAAAGGCAATCAGTGTTCCTTTACCAGAGGCAGGGTGAAAAGGTCGGTCAGGCACAGATCACCAGTATAGCAGCTACCAGCTCAGTGGTCTTTGAACAGCCAGGTTGAGATTTCTGAGCCTACTGCAGACACAGGTATACCAGTTGCTCAGTTAGATCAGGACAATATGTCGGGTCTGGAAGAGATGGTGCGCCAACTCCAGGATAGTATGAAAGCCATGCAGCAAGATGTTGTCCGTCAAGCGGAATTCACCAAGCAACAAGCCGTGGTCATAGCCCAACAGGCAGAGACAATTGCCAGGTTAGAGCAGCAAACTGGAGTATCTACTTCACACCAAGCTCCCCCCCACCAAGAGTTCCCATACTCGGGGAGACAACCCACGTCCAGGATGATACGGACATTTCAAGCGGGCCAGCTCCGCCCCCGATGCTACCCCAGCTGTCTAAACACCCACCAACCTGCCAAACTCCCCCTTTGAGTTCGAGATGGACCCCACAGCATTGAAAGTGAGCAAGCTTGAGAAATTGTTCAAAAAGTCTCAGGGGGCCCGCTCTATTCCTGATATAGAGGATGGTTATACCGACTCAGTGGTGACCTTGCCGGAGTGGTTTAAAATGCCGCATATCGATCGTTTTGATAGCTCTGAAGACCCAATGGTGCACCTTTAACTGGTTTCTGATATCTTGAGGCCAATGGGTTTGACCACAGCCCAGAAATTATCACTATTCGGCCGAACCCTATCTGGGATAGCCGCAATCTGGTATGCAAAATTAGAGAACTCTGTGAAACAGAACTGGGAAGGGCTGGTTGAGGCCTTTATTGCTCAATACTCTTACAACACACAAATCGAGGTCACGACTCGTGATCTCGAAGTCACCCGCCAAGAGCCAAAGGAGGGTTTCTTAGAGTTCGTGACAAGATGGAGAGCAAAGGCATCAATGATGACTACAAGGCCTTCCGACAAAGATCAGATCAGGATGATTGTTCAGAATCTGCATAGCAAGTTACTACAAAAGATGGTCGTTCTATCTCTGTTTACCTTTCCAGCCCTTCATGAAATGGGGGTTCAAATCGAGGATGCCATCAGATAAGGGATCTTTGCAGAAGATAATGAGCCTTCGAAGGGGAATGTTGCTCGCAGTTCCAATGCTACTACTGATGGTAGCACAACTGCGAAATGCTCAGAAGTAGACACTATCACCACTTCCCTCAATGGCCAAAAACCAACCACTTCAACTCGGCCCCAAGCCCGAAAGTTCACCCCTCTTTACATGAGTCTCTCCCAAGCTTTGAAAAAGCTGCAAGAAGAATGGCACCTAGAACTCCTAGAACCCCAACCCCTTCCAAATCCTCTTCCACCAAGATATGACCCAGCTAAATACTGTGCCTATCATCAACAACACGGTCATGATACGAACCGTTGCATCCGCCTCCGTCATAAGATTCAGGATCTTATTGATGAAGAGACCCTAGCTCCACCCAAAGGACCTCAGGTTAATACTGACTCGTCACCTCCCCACCTCAACCTCATCCATACACTACCATCCACCTTCGACCCCAGCGTATACATCACCCCAGCCCATCTACCCAAGCTTGAGGTGTTCATTCCAGAAAGCATGGACTTATGCATGATGGATGCACCTGGACCCCATTCATCTCAAACCCGTGAGCCCACTACTTCTGAGCTGAAAAGAATGATCGAAGATCTTCAGAGAACTGTGATAAATCTGGCCTCCGAGACATTGGCTCCCTCATCGACCACATCACATACCGGGAATTCCATGACAAAAGGCTCCCCAATCTTGGGACTAGCTGCATTCGAAGAAAGCCAAACCCTTGGCAAAATGGAGGCAGACGGTAAGAACAAGGTAGGGGCAGGCATTGGTCCCCATGAACACCTTCAGTGGGCTATGGAGGCTTTGAAAGCTGAAGGGCTGAATAAACGGCAAGTAATTGTAGTTGTTGCAAAGATTGTGGATGGCGCTTTTGCCACTCAGAATGAGAGCAGTTTGAATCAAGGGCCAAGCCAGGAGAAGGGTCGTTGTATTAGAAATGTTCCTTTCAGCTATAATCCTGCACTCAGAAGAGATCAGCAAACCCAGTCGGTGCCCATCAATCCCGTTGCTGGTGTATCCAGTAAAAATCCACAAACTTTGAAGTACCAACCCCGAGGTCAGAGGGTCTTCCATGCCCTCCACATGCCTTTGTCCAAAGCTTTCCAAATCCTTATAAGACAAAGCCATCTCAAACCCCTTGAGCCTCGGCCTCTCCCGAATCCTCTTCCGACTACGCATAATGCTGCCCAATACTGTGCCTTCCATCAACAAACCGGTCATGGTACTGACAACTGCTTTCGTCTTCGCCACGAAGTACAGGATCTGTTTGACAACGGGGTTGTCCTCCTGCCAAGCCCTGCAAAGTCTATCGGCACTGGATTGGTGAACTTGGGGGATAATATGTGATGTGATCGGGGGATGAACCACTTGCGAGTGGCACTCGATTAACTCCAGACGTGGAAATGGCACGCACTGTTCTGAGCAATATGCAAACACCAGTTTTTGTGCTTTCTGACTTGGATATTGAGTCAGTCTTGTTGTTTTTTATAGAGTCAGTCTTTTCTTACTGAGTCAGTTGGGTCTGTATTGTTGTACCGAGTCAGTCCTATTTTGTTAGAGTCTGGTGATTGTAACAACCCTCGTCACTGTTTACTGATTAACCACTGTTTACCGTTAAACTGAACTGATTATGACTGATAAGTGAACTGAATAAACTACTGAACTGACCGACTGAAATTGAAACTGAATTGACTGGGTATACCTATTTACTTGTAATTCTATCTGTTTGGTTATTTGATTATCTGTTCGTGCTTTTATGTTTAAATTGCAAATTG